AACGAGTCTCTTCTACCTTAACATACATACCAAGTTTCATAAAGATCGGTTGAAAAAATTCAAAGATAAAAATGTATATGTAAAAAAAACAAAATGGCAGACCAAGCGATTTTGGAAAAATGTTATTCTTGATTTTCTATTTATTTTGACCCAAGGAATCAATACGTAAATTATGTCCTTACCTTTTTTTACGCACTGTATATTATATACTGAACACATTTTAGTTGGCTAAAATTTATAAAACTCTTATTTAATATTGCACATAACTACAGATTCAAAACAGTGAGGAGCCTAAGTGGCCATTATTTACTAGCCCAAAACATCTCTCAAATACTGTAACTCTTGTTGAAAAGTACGAATAAAGAATCATTTGCAAAATATTTAGCAGTGATTTCAATGTAACAAACTAACTAGGTATCACACTATACATAAATATAATATAGTAATAAGTAATATTCTATCCGTTATAACCCTGTGTGATTTACTTATCTTAAAAGTTTTTATTTGTTGTCTCTTGGCTCCCAAACTTGTTTAATGTTTAGTGTTTTGTAGATGGCTATAAGTGGACACAAGTCTGAGAATGCCTCTGGAAACAACCTTTGACAGACAAACAAGATAAAAGCCTGTTTACCCTCTGACATCCTTTGTCAATAAAGGTTCAAGTTTCTTGAGTTTCCTACTTGAGTTGTCACTTGATTAATATTTGCTTTGATAACTTGTATTTTCCATGTCGATTCTCAGAAGTTTATTTTGCTTTTAGCCTGCTAGGAATTATATAAACGTTTGAAGTTTGTAACAAATGTCAAAATACTTTTATGGTTTGAAGTATGATTCTTGTTGTATTACAGCAAATATCTGTTTTTAGAATGTTCATTGAGGTGCTAAAGTAGTTATTTTCGTCCCCAGGTCTTTGATCCCCAATCGAGAGGATCAACTTTAATTTTTCCCTTTGTTAACTTAGTCTTTTGATTTTAATGATTTTTTTTTCATTTTCAAAATATACTATGATATTGCTATTCAAATTGTTGTTTATTAACTTGTTTCATGTATATTTTACCAAATGAAATGTGAAAATAACTATTTTGAACTTGCGTTTAAAAAATGTTCGTTAACTTTTTGCACTTATTTCTCATGGTGGAGAAATATTTATACATATTTCTTCAACCAACCAAAAACAGTCTGCGTTTAATACATTTTTAACATCTGCCGTTTGTTAATATAGCAAAACAATGGTGCCGTTTTGATAATAAATATTTTATCACATTAACCCTAATTGTCTTTTCACTAATTTTCTAACTTGGTATTTGAATAAATTGTTTCATAAACTTGTGTCTAAAGAGTCACTTAAGGCCATAATGATGAAATGTACTTTTAGAAACCAAAAACCTCTGTACCAACATTATTATAAAACACAATTTTTTATTCGTAGTTTGTAATTTCATACATATACACTATATTTTACTTGAATAAAAAAAATAGATTTTCACCCTAACAATTAACTATTAAAACTGTTACAAACCTATGTTTTAGTAGAAGCCCTTAATTGATAACTATTTTAGCCTCGATTAAAGTTTAAAGTGTATTTTGAATTAACAAAAGGGATAAGTATTTCTTTCAACTTTTTTAGAAGCAGTGTCTCTAGTATTGCCAATTATAGCTGAATTCTACTGGTGCACTATTGTATCACTCCAAGCTTGACTCGCCTTGAAATCGTCCTTGAAACATTTAGTTTAATATGCTTTCTTTTACTGCACTGAGACTTTAGATTCACTCATTGACCTTGAAAGACAAAGTTTAAACCCAGCTCTTATCTTCAATGATATCTTCCCACAACAAGAGATAATAAATTATCTTTCATTCAGTAATTAATTAATGCCTATAAAACATCAAGTTGTTGATGAAAATTTTCCAATATTTTTATTTTGTAATAACACTCTAAACTTCAGTCTTCCTGCTAAATAAAAAATGTCAATTAATTTTTTTCAACACAAATTTAAGAGCAACCAATATTTGTTCCTATAGTTACCTGACAAAGCAGGCCTCCTTGCAATGGTTATAGCACACAAAGTAGCTAATTGCTGCTTTTACTTACTTTTGATGCATTCATTTTTTTGCCGCACTCCATTATTCCAACCAAACAACACAAAACAGTGTGCTTTTATTAGGCACATAATACGTGTACGCTTGGAAATAAGTTGGCAACACTTAAAGATACAACTACAATCAGCTGGTGCAGCGTTTCACAGCCTCTTTTAATTTTAATACTATGACTTAACCTGTTTATTCCGTTAACATTCTATTTTCGTTCAATACTTGGATTTAACCTAACCTTAAAATGTGTTGTTTAGTGTTTGAAAGACTAATTATTTATATGCTTTATAGTATCTGTAGAAAAAATATAATGTGTAACGCGAGCGCAAAGTACCTTTGCTGCACTCAAGTGAACATTTCTCTCATGTGCAGCAAAGTGCCACTTTGCACACTAGTTACACAAACAACTATTTTCAATCCAATAAAGTCATATTCTTCAGGTTGAAAAAGGACTATACCTTTTCCTATTTTATTCAAGAAACAGTTATGCTTATTTTAGAACATGTCAATTGTATTTGAGATTAGCTAAATATATTTTAGAAAACATTCAATGAAGTTGAGAACAGTCAGTTGTATTTGAGAAGGTATCAAATTAATTTAAGAGAAGTGATTTATATTTAAGAAATAATACAGTTGATTCTTAAGTGGATATGTGCCTTAAAACAATGAACTTAACTATCAACCTCTCAAATTCAAACCATCCTTTCTGAAATGAAATTAAATATTTCTCTATTCCATATTCCATATAATACTTTCTCAAGTACAATTGACAGTCATTTACATTTGTTGTTTTATCTAATTCAACTGACCAATCTAATCTACATTTGGCATTTTCTCAAATACAAGTAATGATTCTGAAATACAAAATAACTTCTCAAATAAATGTGGAAAAGGTGAATTATTTGCTAATTCAGCATTAAAATAGTAAGCTTTATTTTGTTTGAACAGTCTTAATACATTTTAATGAAAACTTTATGTTGATCATATTTTATTGATATTGAATATATAAATAGTAATTCAATTTTGGTTCCTTTTTAAACATTATTATTATATCATAACTTAATCTGAAAACATACCAATTTTAAATTTAATATTTTATGAATACTCTATGTAGGTAGATTTTTACAGTTTTGAATACCGTACTTTTAATTTAAAATAAACTCAAATGTTTCACCTTTATTCCATGATTGCACCTATTGTCTGCTTTTCATAACAAGTCTGGGAATCAATCTGCATGGTATTCAATATTTGCGTAACAAGTTTATTGAAAACTCTGCCTTCCTAGAAAAGTTAATATCTTTCTCATATAGCAATATTAACTTTATGACATATTTTTCATAAGCCTTAATATATCAAAATTTCATCGGCAATGTAGCATAACAAATTTCTCTCCTGGCTATAGGCTTTGATATTACAAATTATTCTTGACAACTGCAATATTAAAAATTCCATATTACCTGTCAATTACATGAAAGAATGAAAGTTATATAAACAGAGAATGTATTCTATGACAATAACAAATGCCATGTCATTTCTTATTAATATCTTTCAAACTTATTATATATGAAAAGCCCACACTTTCTACAACATCATACCCTATCTACTTTAGTGAATTTCCCTATAGGAGAGCTATTACCATAGGTGGAGCGGAAAGACCAAGACCCAGGACCGATTTACTTTTTCTTTTTGATGTACCCAGAGGAGATAAACGTCATCCGTTCTAATTCCTATACATTATATTGTCTGTTAGCACAATAACTTAATTAAAATTCATCCGATTTTGATGAAATTTGGTACAAACCTGTAAAACCTACATTTGTGTTTTACGATTTTGTGAATCAATATGATTGGACTATGGGAACAGGGATTTGTAGGGTAAAAATTTGTTTTTCCTTTTTTGACCCCCAAAACAGCATTTTGCAATATATTCCTTAATTGTTTTATCGAGGTTAAAAGACTAATCATTTAGCAAACTGAAGTATTATTGTACACTTATTAACAACAGAAAATGTTTTTAAAAAACTGTTAATTTTATTTTTTTATTTTATTCTTATGAAGAACAAATAAACTGTTGTAGTTTGCTTGTTTGGGGATGCATTTTGATCAAATTTGGCAAGATTGTTTATTTCATTCTAAGATCTTCAAATTTCAATACAACCCCCACTTTATTACCATCCCTGTAGTAGCAATCCTTAGCACTCACTCATTAAAATTAATGTTATTTTAAATAAAATCTAAATTTGAAAATTGTATTTACACATTAAACAAAACTTTAAATTGTATGCTATATAGTTTGCTAGGTATTTGTTGTTGTCAATAACTAAACTCTAAAGGTAATTTTGAAGGTCTTCTTGGGTATTTGGTCAAAAAATAATTTAATTAGTGTTTTTCATTGGATTGGACATTAAATTAGTAATTAAAGTGTATGGCTGTTAAATCATTTTGACAAAAATGTGGTACTTAAAGGGATTGAATGTGGTAATTTTGTCATATGTTCAAGTAGGAGCACAACACACAGGCTGAACAAAAGTTAAATTTTGCTATTATGTCTTATTAATTATGCTCAAGAAGATGGTTGTAATTTTATCCCAGAATTTCTAAAATCATAATAATCTTTCACAAGAGCTGCTTCTCGTCCATCTCTAGATTTTTCACCAGATTAGATGGAAATCACTGTTTCGGCCAGTAAAAATTCTTGCCTTAATCAACTGTTCAATATTTATAATCCTCCATTTTTAATTGAACCATAACTTCACATTTTTTATTATGTCTAGTCATAAGTAAACTTCAAGACCTCACAAATATGGACACAGTCCATACCAAACTATGGTGTTTTCTGTTTATATTTCCCGCCCGCGGCAAAACACCGGCAGGGCATAGAGTACAGTGTCGCGGTGTTGTTTTCTCTCTGCTATCAGTTGTGTAGGACCTTTGATCGACCAAGGTGACCCCTGCTGTCACTTGTCCGTGGCTCATTCTCGTTCAGTTGTCCGTCAGTTTTGACAGCGCTAGCATCTTCGCTCCTCTATGTAAGTGTTGTCAACCCACACTAATATTAGACATCGTTCTTTTCATATTGTTCTGTAAAACTAACTAATGTTGGCCGATGTTTTTACTTTATTTCGTGATAGATTTTTCACGTCGATTAGTTTATGAATTATCTTTTATTTAGTGTTGACTGTTTTAATGCTTACTCTGTGGCTTAGTTATTTTTTATCGACGTTTAATTTATGCTACTTTTTGTTTGAGTTTTACCAATTAATGTATTATTTTATGACTTACAAAATACAATCGCATTTCCTTTCCTTCTTTAGTTTATGACAATCTTAAGTTTAGGATAGATCTACGACCTATCTAAACTGGCACTCTAGTTTTAGAAACGCAACTTACCAATCATAATTTGCACATATTTGACATTTATTATAATGGTTCAGTTTTTTAAATAATTTTGATGCTAATTAAAATCCTACCCTACGGTAATTTTCTTTGGTTTCATTAGTGGCGTTTTTAGTTTGTGTGAAAAGCATTGAGCTACTGTACAATATTATGAACGGCGAGAATGTACTATAAGTATTATGTACTACAAATTATTATTTTCAAGACTGACTAATTTTAGCTGTTGGAATATATAAATAGCAAAATTGAGGTCAAAGACTCGTTCATTTAATCGTAAAACTTAATAACAAATGACCTTCACCTCTCTTCGTTGCCAAGTCCAAAGGCCTTTAAAACTGTTTTTTATACTTCTTGATTGCACAAGTACGTAGATTCGCAACATTGACGACGTCACTGACAGTTTAACTGTGCATTCCGTTGATGATAAGGGTGTTAATGACCTTGACCTTGCATTTAGCTGATGGAAGTTTGATAAGAGCACCGGGCAAGGTGTTCGATTTTGTTACAATAAACTATGTTTTGATTATTTGATACAATTGGTGTATAGTTAGTTATTGTGTTTACCTAAGTTATATGAAGAGTATTCGAATTTTAAGGGATTATAAAATGTAATGTTGTTTATGTTTCAATATTAATTAATTGTATTATTTACTAGCTAACCCTGAAAAGTTTGCTGTATTTTACTGTTTTACAATACTTATAACTTGAAAATTAATTTTTGTACCTTGGAAACCCTTAAGGAATACTTGAAATTCTTCATGGAAACTAATTTGTTAATGTGATACCCACCCTTATTGAATCTTATCGTAAAATTGAAGCAATTTATTACTTGTATTTGGCCAAAAAGCACATGCAGGAAATTTAGCTGTTATATTCTTTGGCTGTTGCCAAAAATATAGTTTCAGCTTTATTTATTCTGTCAAACATAAAAATCCTGTCACCACACACCCAGCATATTTGTTGAACCCATTACTTTTTTGGCTCATATGTAGTAGTTTAATTTGAAATAGAAAGATTAGTGATTGAGAGATAATCAGTTTTTATACATAAGTAGAGATTAATATTTTTTTACCTGTAGATTTCAATGTAATGTTTATCTATTGAACTTTTGACCTAATTGAAGCTGTTCAATATTTTGTAGTCACATTAGTACTTAGACTTTCGCAACAGAGTCAAAGCACAACTCTGGATTTCTCTTAAAGAACTCGCCAGATTTCAGTAAATAGTTGAGTCAGTCATATCTCTAAAGGATTATAGATTTACAAACTGCGATATTAAAGAATTGTTTTAAGAGAATACATGTTCCTACAAGTAATTCATCCGTTACTTTAACTTACAATATCATTTTACTGACCGGATTAGTTTTAGCTGTAAGATACAAATTAGATATATTTGTTTACGAAAAGAAGGGTTAAGACTCAAGAGAGAGGGGAAAGTGGTATAACATATGTTTTACCAGTATTTTGCAATAAAATTCACACTATATATACTTAACTTTAAATTGTGTTTTTATTATTTAAGAAAAATACAAACAAATCCTTTGAATGATTCAGGATATGTTCTGATAGACCTGAAATTGTATTACTATCTACTTGGAAATTCCATCAAGTACCGGTACTCAAAGATAATTTTTTCACATAATTCGGAGCAGAATTTATCTTTACTTTAGTACTGAAATCACTGTCACTAACTTCTTTAAACAGGAAAATTAATTTATTGCCAAGATATGTATGCTTAGTTGAATATTTCCATACGCTATTTTTTTTCCTAGGACGCTAGGCACAAGCCTGGGAATGTTATCACATTACTTCAGGCTAGACCTAGGGGTTGTGGCGTTATCACTTACATAAAATCCATTGGTGATTTGGCGGGATTTGAACCCGGGACCTCTTGGACCAAAGTCCCGTGCTCTAACCACTAGACCACAGACAATATAATCTAGACCAGCTTGCTCTCCCTGTGTATGCTATTACATATAAGTGGAAGTAAAAAAGATTCTTCAAAACTAATCTGGCTTATAAAATCTTACTTACTTGGGGTAAAACTGTTAAATTAAAGATACTTCAAAAAAATGTTTAAATGTAATTACAAAATTCTTTTGTATATTATAGTGTACTGTAGGCCTACATAAAATTATTTTAAGAACCATACCATATATTTTATAACATAAATGATCCAAAGTGAATAAAAAGATTGAGCTCAGTAAAGTAACAGTGTTAGAGTTTCAATGGATCAATCACAGAGTATATTGTGAGCTTTCACACTTAATATATTGAATTATCGAGTAATTGGGTTTTGTACTCTCTGCCAGAGATTATCCCTACGATACTCTAACTTAGGGTAGTGGACTAACATTGTTAGTGATACCATCATAGCCATCATACATTCATTTAGTCGATATTCTGTAGTTTTCTGATAAAATTTGGGGTTAAAAGTGTTTGAAGTTTTTTCTTACAAAATACTACTGCCATTAAATAATTGAAAAATTATCATACAAGACAAGTTGAATCAAATTAATGAATCTAAAGGACATGCTTAAAATATTATCTTTGAATCAAAGCAATTTAAGGTTTTTATTTATAACAGAATAATGAAACCTGCACAAAATATACTGGTATAGTTAGTAAATAAACTATAGTAAGTTAATATAAAATTATTTCCTAACACTTCAAAAATACCTAAATATTTTCAGAAGAGAAATGGACTAAAAGTTCTTTATCACTTTCTCTAACTGATCTTAGAATTTAAACCATATCAAATTGTTCCAAGATATCACTTTGATATTTTTCTGAAAGGTATTATGAAGTTAAAAGTGTAATAAGGTTTATTATCTATGTTTTTTATCACTGTTATTTATATATTTTCCAAAGCTTGCCTTTCACAAGAACCCTCTAAATTAAAGATGAAAAACACATTACATTACATTAAAAACACAATTTTTATGCTTCACAGTAATGCTTTGCTAGGTTGTTGACTATGCAATTTGAAAACATTTTTTTTACTATAGAAATATTTTGCAAATATTTGAAACTTGTTTTGGTGTAACATTGAATTTGTGCTTTAACAGATTATATTGCTTTGAATTATTTTATTTTGAAAAAAAAAATTGTTTGTATCCTAGCTACTTTAAATAAAATAAACATTTTAAACATGTTATTTTTAACATTTTAATAAACATTTAGGCCTAGCATTTTATTAATAAATAATTTTTTAAAGTTTGTTGCCCTCTGAAATGAAAACATGTGCATTATTATATAAAATATACACAATCACGAATGTTTGGTCTGTTTTACCTTATGGAAACAAAAGACTTATGCTATTTTTATACCTTACGATTTTACGAAATAGTTGAAAATCGAAACCCCCAGTAGATATTATCAACAGACATCTTAACATTTACCAAACCTAGCAAGGCAATAACTTGTGACTTCACATTTGGGAAACACACTTTCTGCGAAGTATTTATTGTGCAAAGAAGACAAGATTCCAGTTGACAGGTTTTGAGGGATGGAAGTAAAGCCCAGACAGGGTCGAATTAGATTTTTGAGATCCTCCCAATTCTCTTTTCAGTTACAATACATTTCTCACTGAAAAAAATTGACTTGGCTTTAAAAGAGACAGTTTATACAGTTCTAGAATATATTTACTTTTTAGCAAATTTCCCTATTGGGAAGAAAGTATTACATTAGTTGGAAAGTATTACGTCCTAGACCCTGAATCAATTTACTTTTTCATTTCCATGTCCCCATAGTCCAATAACAGTACTTTTTGGATTTTATACAGGTTTATATTATTAGATAGTGCGTGTGTATCCGTGAAAACAATAACTTAACTCGAGTAATTTTGGTAAAACGATAACCAGCAAAATTCTGTCATAGGGAATAGAGTGTTATGAGGCCTCTAAATTTTTGAAAATAATTTTTTATTTACCCTTAAAACATTGAGATGGCTAGTTATCATACAGCCTTCATATAAAAACAAAACATTTTGTATATTGAAGCATTGTTGTATAGTTAAATATTATGTAGGAAATTCCAAAATAAGTTACTGTATATTTGGAATTCCTATGTAATTCTTATGGAGAAAATGAATACTGTTTGCTTGTCTATGTGATATATTTTGATCACATTTTGTAAATTTATCTATTAAATCCTAGCAAACCTAAGTACTCTAAAATCTAGTATTATTTAAACGTGGAATTAACATAACATTTTCAAGAAATTATTTGAGTAAAAATCCAACCAGACAGATTTAAATTTGCTTATTGTGCAGTTTTTCTGCGGGGGGGGGGGTGAATTAGTGTTGTAATTATTTATTTGTCACAAAAGTAAGACTGTTTTTATTGTTCTGAACATTTACCAATTTTTTCAAACAAAATGCAAATCTTCCATATTTTATTAAGATCAAGTCACCATTACAACACAACAATGAATTTATTATAAATTTCATCCAACTACTATATTTTTCATGCATTGTTTCATGTTTCAACATTTGTCAAGACAGGATTTTCATGGGACTTTTTATCTATATGATGCATATAACAACCGCTGTATTTCATATCAACTTATATCATTTGTCAAGGGAGGAGACTGATTTACCCTCATGTATCAAGAGATTTCATTGCAGTGTACCA